CTTATAGACAGGAAGGAGACAAGGGCCGAAGATTCTTTCATGTCCCCAGTTTAGCATTTCCCTATCCTCGTTCCCCAAATATTTCACACACCAGCACTCCGTGGTTTGTCTTCACTCCCTTTACCCAGTTTGCTCCTCAGCTCCCTACCCTCCTGGGGAGTCAGGAAGGTGCCCCCAAGTATAGGGAGATGTGGAGGAGGGCCACAAGAATCTTGACCCTTCTTGGTAGCCCCACCGGTCTCACCCTCCTGCACCGCCAAGGTGATGGGCTTCTGCTCAAAATCAGGTATGCTGCACCCCTCGGGAACCTCGTCCACCAGCTGCCGGATGCTCACCCCAGGGGTGGGGGACTTCTTGAGGGGCTTGCCTGGAGAAAGTAGGAGAAAGGGACATGGACCCTCCCCACTCTCCCTGCTGGTGGCCCTACAGCAAAATCAAGGCTCCACCCACTCACCCAAGTAGCCAGAGCCCCCTTTCTCCCTGGTTGGCAGAGCCCCTCTCTGTGAGCAATGCTTTCGAATTTTCTAGAGGAATCGGCATCATCCCCCAGCTGTGTGGACAGAGGGCCTGGGATGTGGGGAGAGAGGGGTGCTGGGAAGATCTTAGGAGTATCATGGGGAAAAGCTAGAGAAAGACAAGCAGGAAAGGACATCCTTCTGGAAAGCAGGGTCCATGCTGGGGAAGGGGTCCTGCACCCTTTATTCAAGAAAACAAATCCAAACCCACAGCTGAAACTAAAAAAATCAAAGAGATAGTTGAGCTCACAAAGATCTCTGAGCCTCCCTTCCTCTCTACAGGGTGAGGAGCCCCCGAAAAGGACTGGGGCGGGGACGGGGGAGCTTACTGCTTTTCTCACCTGCCATAGTTCAGGCTTCTCTTGGGCTATTATGAAGGTGGGTTGGGGGCGCTGAAAATAGAAGACAGAATAACTTATGCGAGGGCCGGCTGGTCTATCCCACCCCACATCCTAGCGTTCCGGCTGGCATGGGGTGGCGCTCAGACCAGCTGCTCCAGGGGCTTCAGTAACCCCAGCTAATGACTCTGCCTTTCTGCAGTCCCCATCCCAGAAAATACAATTTCCTAGGCACAGGGAGGGGTGAGAGGTTGCCCAGTGGCACCTCTCCCAGGTCAAGGAAATCATGGGCACAGCCTGCAAACTGTGCTGTGGGGGAACCCTTGGCCGGACCTTAGCCACGGGCCGCTCAGACGGTGAGACTTCACCATCCCAAACCTCAGGAACTCACCCAGCCTCTTGCAGCTGTTTCACAGTCTGACTCCCTTGACTTAGGCATGTGGATTTTTTAGGGACATCTTCTGGGGCGCCTGGCTCCTCCCGAACCCTGAAATTTTATAGCAGGGCCCCAGCAGCCTTCTACCTCCTGCAACAACCAATCTGGCATCTGGAAACCTTCAGGGCATCAGGGAAAATCCCAGACACGGCTGCTCTTAAGCTCTTCTCAGTCCAAGCCATGGAGCCCCATAAATCCACCTGCCCCATAAATCCCTCCGAAGTCAGTGAATTGTAGCATCAGGTGAACAAGAGTGCTTTCAGCCTCCCCAGCCACCATCACCACCCCTGGCTCCCCTGGATTTCCTCTTAGGGGCATCCATCTGTTGTGACCCATGGGGAGCAGGTATCCAGGAGAAGGGGGGGGAGCTTGACTCTGGGATAGAATGAGAACCTTGCTGAGAATCAGGAAGATGGAGAGGGTGGGGTGGGGGCTGGAAATAACTAGAAAGAATTTCCACCAGGTAGCTGAGCTGGCACATGGCCAAGCGGTTCTGTTTTGGAGACTCCTGACCCCCTCAAAGAGCCCTGTCATCAAGATAGAATGACACAGATGGGCACATTCCTCCCTCCAACGGATATTTCCATATTTCCATGCCGCAGTCCCCTGCATTGTGGCTCATGGTGTCCCCTCCCTGTCCAACCTCTTGGTGGCCCCACTGCAGCCCCCACCCTGGAGTAGGTCGAGCTCCACAGACACCTTGGTCTCTCCTTTGTGTCACCTTGTCATCATCCCCACCAGCCATCCTTCAGTACTGGGTGTGTGTGACACAGGACGATGTAATGTTAACACCGTTCCTCTTCTTTCAGCCCCCAGCTGGCAGGCTCCAGCTAATAAGAGAAGCTAGGGGCCCCGTGTCAACCCTCTCGCCCTCTGGATCTCTGTCTCCTCAGAAATAAGCCAGATTGGGCAATAGGTCAATGACAGGTGGGCGAGAGAGCCCTGTTTGGCTGTAGACGACAGGGAGGTGGTCTCAACTGGAAGAGCTGCAGAAGGAAGTGAACTTACCCCTGTGCTTCACCCCATATTTGAGATGAGCCCTCAGCCTTCCCTGCACCAAGCGGCAGCTTGTGCCCTTATATCAGCCTCTGCCAACCAGACTCAGCCATGGTCTCCCCGACCCAGAGCCCACCCCTTGCCCACAGGCTGTTTCCTGTGAGGTATTGGGGTTTTCGACTGGTAGGTGCTAGGCAGAAAGTCAGATGGGTTTCTTTCCACTGCTCTGACTGTGCGATTGACGGAGACAGTCCCCGTCCCAGCCCTGAAGTCCTTACTCTGCGGCTCATCAGAGCTTGAACCTGGTCATCCCCTCACACTTTTAGCCAGGCAGTGCCCAGAAAATCAGAGCCAGGGCAGAAACAGCCAGATAGGACTCTCTGAAGTTCTCTGCCCACACATCCTGGAGTCATCAGGAGGCTGAGCACCAGCCAGGCAGGGAACATGCCCACTGCCAGCCCTTTCCCAAGTAGAAGAGTCAGAGTGTAGCCTAGCACCGCTGCCGCGCTAGCTCACCACCGTGAGCAGGCACCCAGGTGTAGTGTCCACTTACCTGGGCACAGAGCTGACCTCCGGCCCCCGACTGCCCCCTCCTCCCATTTCCAGCTGCTGAGCAGAGGGAGACTCAGAGTGGACTGCTGGGCACTGCCAGGCTGGCAGCAGATGTAGGAGCTCAGGTCTGGCTTGCTCTGCCCCTCCCACTCACCGCCTCCCGCCTCCTCCTCCAGCACTGGCTTGGCAGAGCAGGGTCCCCGGGGAATGCCCAGCCTCAGAGGTCAGATGGAAGGGTCCCGTGACAGCGGCTCACCCAGCTCCTCGTTTCTCAGAACTTCAAGCTCATGCTTAAGCAGGCGGCTTAGTTCTCTTTGCTCGTGTTGCTCATTAGCTCACTCATTTCAGCGGGGATGTTTTCATCACCTAACACTTTCACTTTGCCGCTTAAGCTGGTCCCTGAGGACCCTTGACACCAGAAGCCTCCTCTTGGCACTCACAGTCCAAGGTGGTACTGAACAGGCAACACGTTCTGGCACCAGTCACAGACCCAGACGGGCCAGAGGGCGTGGCCCGGGCTCCTGTGACTGTCCTGCTTAGGGGAGGAGGGAGTGCCCCCCACTGAGAGTGGGGGCAGGGGAGCCCCTGGGAGGCCTCCCAGGAGAAGGGGTGCTCTTCAGCAGGGAAGAGGTGACTGGCCACCTGCGGATGTTTGGTTTTGACTGGAAGGTGGGAATGGAGGAGAGGATGGCTGGTACCAGATTTTCTTGGGAGGGAGGACAGGCAAGACCCAGAGGAGCTGAGGGCACAAAGTCACCTGCTCTCTCCTTAGGGACAGAGAACTGGTTTTCAATAAGCAAGGCTTGATCAGGGATCAGGGGAAGTAGAAGGAAGTGCACTGATGTTTCCTTCAAGGGCAGACACTGGGTAGTCATGCTGGTAACACCTTGCCTTTCTACAGAAGCTTCTCAGAGAGGGGAGTGCTTGACCTTGTATGCTCAGGCCTCAGGTGTGTGTGTGTGTGTGTGTGTGTGTGTGTAACTGTGTGTCAGGACTGGTGTTTCATTTACTCGACAAATTTATGTTGAAGCAAATGACAGGGCCCTCCCCTCATAGAGCTTACAGTCTAATGGGGCAGAGAGATGTTAACTAACCAGCGCCTGCTCCGCAGGAACCCACAGAGTAGGATGCTAGAGCTTGGACAG